TTGTCAATTTAGCCCCTGTTTGTCTACCATTTTTCAAAAAATTATTTTCTACAGTAATCAATCTCTACCACACATTCAAATAATAAAATATTCTACACATAAACCGATAAAGTTTCTTTCAATTTCAACCACACATTTTCCAAAAAATACTATTCATTACACCATTTTCTTCTCAATAATGGTTGACAAACAGGCACTAAATAATTGCGTGTTGCTTAAAGGTGTTGTCTGCGAGAGTCGATAAATGGATATTACCATTGATTAATTTAATTGCGATTTGGCAACAATATTACAATGCATCTTACTAATGCAACCTTTTTCAACCCACAATGTTACCAAAAGGTTTTCAATTATACATATCGCTTGAGAAAGTCTTCCATGGTATTATACTTAATCTCTGGATAAAGTTTAGATGCCTCTTCTTCATCTCCTATCTTAAAGCTCGTAAGGCATCCTTCGTGGAAAACATCGTGATAATGGCTGAATCCCACTTGCTGAGCATAGTCGAGCACTGACATGAAATAAATCAAAAGAACATAAAAATTTTGCTCGTATTACGTATTTGATGGAAAATGAATCCAATATGCGTGTGAGAGGACACGTCGAAAATGGGATAATTGTGATGATACTTTTTGAGATCGTATGTACCTTTCATGGAGGCCAAAAAATCTTCCTTTGAGACAGTAATCTTCTGGAGTTCTTTCCCAGTGAGCTTCTCCCATGTCTGAACAACTTCTCTTTGTGAAAGGATGTTTTTTGGAGGACTAATGTAGATTGTCTTGTTAAGGGTTCTTGGATCATCAATTGCTTTGATGGTGTAGGTTGCTATATCATCTTCATCATTATATATTGCTGCCCAAATAGAAGATAACAAATTGTAAGAAACTAAGACTTTTTTGAATAAATTTCGGGATTTTGTTACATGGATTCGCCACTATGTTCGATTCACTGCTACCTTTTTTGTTTCCGTCTCCATGTAAAATGACAACATTTCTAGAAGGAAGAACTTTGCCAATTTGACATAGACCTCCCACAAAATAGGCTGCAAAGCAATTTGCAGAGACATAGGTGAAAGGAATCCCAGCCTCTTCAATTGCTTTCCTTGTCAGAAATAAGGATTTGGTGGACCAAAATGCATGCAATGAAAAGATAAGGATTGAAGAGACAAGTGGTAAAGAAAAG